TGCGGAAATGAATCGAATTCCAAACAAGATTCAGAGAGCCGTATCACAGTTGAACGCGCTACATAACTTGATAAAGTCAAATGAACATATCAGTAATAATAAGGAGATCACGGAACGTTTAACAAACGCGGAATGCACAATCAAACAATTACATAGGAGTTATCAAATGGAATGTGAATTGAAGAAATCATCTCTAATTGATTTATCTCGATACAACACTCGTAACATGTTCATAACTATTATCGCGTCATGGAACCAACAACCATTCTTGAATGATTCCCTTCTGAACGCTTTATACGCATTAGTTTTATGAGTTGTTAAGTATTTTATGTATCAATTTTTCATTTCATTAGTACATCTAGCGCATCGTTTAGTGCAGACTACTTGTTTACTTGTTATCAGAGATGTTGTAAGCAATATCGTTAGGATTGAAATTTGGTTTTTAGTTCAAATTTTTATTCGTTTAAAACTGGATGAAATGGGACCTTAATGAGGAGTAAATCTAACAGTGCTCAAATGTATTCAAAACTTGTAGTGTTGTTGATATGAACGGTTTGTTGGTGACAGTGAAATGATTATAGCAAATATGATTACTTCAAATTTGATTCGTTCATAAGAAATGCTTTTATGAGATTACGTTTAATCTATCTTGGTTGTATGAAATTTGTTCTTGTAAATAAACATTCGTTGGTTATTGGCGTTCATTTTGTTGGGCACATTATTAAGTTAAACTTGTTTGAACTGAACAGTGGAATGTTTTCAGTGTGAGGAAAGAATGGAAAATTTTTAGAAATACAGTTGAGCGCAGCATAAGAGAGTCGGCGAAGCTTGAATGTTTGTAGAGATATAATTTGAATAAAGTGGATCCAATTTACTGCAAATGTGAGTGGAATTGAATTTCAGGAAATAATTGAGCTGGAATTCGATAGACTGCCAGATGATGCAAATGAGGTGATTGCTATATTGAGGGGCGAACGTGCTGCTCTTCATTTATGGGTCGATTTAGCTGTGCGTACCATTTGATTGTCTTTTTTTATGTTGCATTTTTATTTCTACCGTTCTCGGTTTGGAATTTAGCTTCCGAGATTTGGCGTTTATTAAGTACACAGGAATTGTGAATATATGTTCGAGAGATGATTGTATCAAAGTTAGAAATTTAGAGGTACTACCTTAAATTTTGAATGAAACTGATTGCGTGGTCATGAGGATTTGTTGAATTGTGAAATAACTGCTTGTAGTTGGCGTATTATCGGCATGGAAATGAGGCGGATTTTGTTCGAATACTTGAACTGAGTGGTTCAGAGGCAAATCTTGACTATCAGGAATTTCCAAGAGATCAAATGCGTGCATTGGACACTTTAGCTGCTTATTATGTTGTGCAGGTTTGTGCTCATTCTATTCTTCTTTCGGAGGCGATTAATTGGAAAATGTCTGATGCATTTGATTATTTGCATCATCGTAATTTGATGTACATGAAATTTCATTACACATCATCCATCAATAGCCTGAGGTTCATTTTATCCAGTTATCCAGTTAATCCAGTTAATTGATTAAACAAATTTTGAATGAATTGATTTGCAAGTCATGAATGTATGCAAGTGATCATTCATTGGCTTTCTAGTATCAGTATATATATATACGATGCAAGCAACAATCCATATAGCTTACTTGATTGATTGCAATTCAGAGTCATAAAGAGCGTAATAAGGAGAAGAAGAAAGAATGGCAAACGAAAGCAACGTTATTGTATACAACAGCTGATAAGATTATAATGTATGACACGAATCATCTTCTCGGACGGGCTTATTTCTGCTTGTTGGAAGGCAAAACCGATCAAGCTGAGCAGCAGTTCAATTTCGTGTTAAACCAGGTTCGGCTCAGTTGAAACACCTCGTTTATTGCTTATACAATCTTCAGATCACCTTCATACTACATATATACGTGTAAAACTCTATTGTGACGTTGTTAATTGTAAGTTCATTACTTGTGTGTGATAGATATGTTGTAATGAAGATGATGTATGAATTCAGGTTGGTGAAAATATTCCAGCAATGTTAGGTAAGGCGTGTATTTTCTTTCAAAAGAAGGAATTTCGAAAGGCATTAAACTGCTATAGAAGTGTTTTACGCAAGAAACCGGATTGCCCGGCTGATGTGAGGCTTGGTTTCGGTTATTGTTTGGCGAAGCTTGGAAAAGCCGAGAAAGCGAGGTAAGATTTAAACTGATTCTGATCATTTGTCGAATTATTGTTGATAATATACTTTTATTTTTATCTGAAGTTGTTAAATGGTCGTCTTGATGCTATCTTATTGGCATTTACAATGGTGACTTTCCCAAATGTGAAACCGTGGCCAAACCCAAATGTATCTTAATCGCATGAGGATATCTTTGAACCAGAATTACGATAATCATGTCAGTTCCATAGCACAGTCTGCATCACGTGCTCAGTTTATGGAGTGAACAGTTGATGCACTTGAAACAGGATACGCAAGTGAATGATTCAAATATACATGATAGCTAAATGGAGGATGTATTTGTTGCAGGTTGGCATTTGAGCGTGTCCTGGAGCTGGAGCCGTTGAATGTGAATGCGTTGATAGCATTAGCAATACTCGA